GCGTTTGTCGTCGCTCGCCTTTTTCAGCTCTGGTCCCCCCCTTTCTTGCTGCCTTCGAAACCCTGGTTTGCTGGGCTGTGTACTCCCGTATAATCGAGTTACTACATGGCAAGGGCTACGAAGAAATGCTCGTACAAGACATACTAACGGGTAGGTCTGCTGGAAGAAGATTGCTCCAACGTGCTGTTGATACTTCGTACGGGTTCTGTACGGGCTGCGCATTACTCTCTCTCTTGGCGATAACAGTTTCGACGATGGCCATCCGAATAATGCTGCATACATACATCCCATGCTCAAACCTTTATCGGCACTCGAAAGCGGTATGCACCACGCAAAACCACTTTCCACCCAACTGCCATCCCATATCTCGACAAAACCCCATTCCCAAGCCATCTCGTCCTGTTCCTCAATCTACACCACTCAGCTGCGCCAGCCAGCCAGGGCCCCCCGTCTCTCTCCCACAACCCGAGGAATAAGACCAAAAAACACTAGTATATGGAATCTACCATAGACGGAAGAAGCGCAGTACAGTAATAAGTATGTAATCCTCCTCCCGGGGGGTCCCCTCATCCCCTCCCCAGGCACGGATATACTCCCTGCAGACGTGCGTCTCCTCTCCGCCTCGCGTTTTTGCCGCGCACAGCGCCCCGAAAATACCAAACATAGTAATAAAACCAACCCAGATCCCGCGGCTGCACATCACTGGCCGCTAAATCGAGGCAAATATCCGTCCAATCCGGGAAACTCGCTCCCATTGCGAATACAGACCACTTTGGACCAATAACACGACATGCGGCCTGCAAAATGACTACCAGTACTACTACCTATTACTGTCAAGTCATGTATGTAGGTACACGCATGTATACGCAGCTCAGCACATCGCCTTTTGCTGATAGTAGTAGGATCACATACTGGCATGGTCTATACCTGATACACGCATCTGGTGAGGAGAAGCTGCGCGAATCGTGCCATCCCGCAAAGGCGGTCATGTGTCCTGTTCCCTCATCATCCATCCTCTCACTCTCTCTCTTTCTCTCTCTCTCACAGGACCCCCCGGAGATGCAAACAACGCCCGCTAATGTCGCGATGACTAGCTGTGCATGTGCTATTGGACATATAAATGGCCCAGCCCAGTCCCAGCCTCGTCCACCGCCCGCGATTGCACGCGGGAAAGGAACAAAGGACAAGGCAGGCATCAGGTTCGATTTTGGGTAGTAAATTGGAGAAAGGGCAAAAAACAGGCATCATCATCATCACCACCCCTCGCTGGGCCCTCGCTATACCGGTATGTAGTACTGCCCATTGTCCAGATTCATTCGTCCGACAAAATGGCATCTCAAGTTTCAGGAACCAAGAACCTCGCGTCTCGCAAGCGAGCAAGGCCGCCCATCGCGAACATGCCAGCGATCCCCCCAACCCCCCGGCATCCGATGCTACGCTCTCTCCTCCTCGGCAAACGGAATTGCTTCATTGGGCACACTGCGTTTGCGCACGACGGAGATGCCCCCCTTTGGGGATCCTTTCGTTCAGCCCCCCCCCCCCTTGATCTCGTTCCGTAGACTACATGTTTCATTCCCTCCGTAATCTTTTGCTTCAGAAGCAGTGACCGTCTTGATCACGTGGAGGCTGGATTCCTCCAAATGGACGTCTGCCCGCCATGGCAGATGAGCTCTGGTTGTCGTAGACATTTGCAGGTCGGCGGTGGGCGTAGACGATTCCCCTTCGCCTTTTTTTCCTACCCATCTATTGTTGTTCTGCCCCCAATATGTCTGTTTCAAGTCAGAATATAAGAGATGAAAAGGGATCTACGGCATGGAAAGAGGCAGCCAGGACGGAAGTTACAGATCCGAGCTGATCGGCGATATACCCATCTAAGTCGAACCCATAATACATGCTCAACCCCAAGGCTTGTCAAGGTAGGCAAAAAGACAATGCCGCGGTGCTATTGCACGTATAATCCCCAACACTTTCCACAAAACACATAGCCTTTCTCTTTTCACGAAACGATAGAAGAGAGAAAAAAAATGAAGACTGGATTTGCATCAAAGCGTTCTACCTAGGTCCGACTCAGCCCCAATCTACGAAACAAGCCTCTCAGAGACACAAAAGCTTTAAAAACCCGAACTTCCACCCAACGCGCCCTACCTAGCCCCAGGAACGAAAAAGCCTTCTTTCTTCAGCTCGCGCGTGTTCCTCGTAAAGCCTGCCCCCCAGCATGTGTCCCGAATGAGAAAACACCCACTCTCCCGACTTTCTCTGAGGAAACAATCTTCCCGCTATGATAAAAAACCTACTTCCCATCTGCGGAGTGCCTCACAGCGTAGAGAACCCCAAGACACCGTCTTTTTGAACCCCAAGTGTCTCCCGCCGGGAAGGTGGGGGGACATGCTCTTCTCACTCGCAGATCAAAACCTAAGGTAGGTGTAAGTGTGAGTCCTCCGTAAGCACATGTGCATATACATACTAGTAGATACTCTGTAGGCATGGTCTCTCTCTCTCTCTCTCTTCCCCGGTTGCTCGAAATATACTTCTCGTTCTGGTACCTGACACCACCAAGGGGTTCACGAGAACAAGTACTACATACAGTCGCCCGAGTCAGTTGAGCAGAAAAACGAACGGGTGTTATTCCCGACGACAATTCCCAGAGGTGATGATATGTCACATATCTCGAGTTAGCAAAGAAGAAGAAGCCTGGCTTTGCCCGGAGAGAGAGACCTGGAAGGTGGAAAAGGGAAACAGGAACATGATTCACTACTTACCTATCAGACCATTCTCGTGCTACAACATGGTCTTTCTTTCGAAAGGTGCATGTAGAGCGAGCATATGATCTCAGTCAAAGCACATATAGTAGTGCTACTAGAACAGCAGAAAGCATGCCAAGGCCATCCACGTAGCTCTCGCAGCGCCTTACATGGCAGCGCAGCGCATGGCCCAGGCCGTCTCCTACTGCAACAATAGTCCAAGACTCAAGTCTCATGTCCTACGTCCTAAAGTCCTACCTAGGTATGCTATGGATTTGCAGGACTGCAGGACGAAAAGAACTCGTACAGCCATCTCTTTCGTGCCATAACCTACATACAAACCACAGACGACAGACCACAAACCACAGACCCCACGCCATGCCAGAGTCAACAGACAGCTCACATTCAACGCGTGCACTCATACGACTACATCCAATCATCCAAAACATCCAACCATCTACTCACCCAGTCGTTCCAAACCATCCAACCATCCAAGCCCTCCCCCTCCCAGCATAATCCATCAAAACACTTTCACTTTCCCCTCCCCATTCAAAGAAACCAGCAAGCCCAAGCCCCAGAGGTCCCTCCTTATCCCCCGTACGTTCCAAAAACGACAAACGAATAGTCTATTATCGTACATATGTACGTCTCCCTCAACTCCATCACACCGCAGAATCCCGTAAGTCCCGTCAACAAAAAGACGTGTAACAAACATTACACGTCCCGTCCCTTTCGCAGCACCTGCATCTAAGCCACTGCACTCAAAAAAACGCACGTCTGCTGCACATCCCAGCCATCAATCAAAGCAAGCAAAAAAGAAAGGCACCCGACACGGCACGCATGCAAGAAGAAAAAAAGCGCCTTGTATTATTATCCGCCTGTCTGTCTGTCTGTTTTGACCCTCTGCCCGTCCCGCCTGTGCTTTGTCCAGTAACAGAACACAGGCATGTATGTACCTTACCTTACCTACAGGACCCAAGGTAGTAAGGCATGTAAGCCAAGCACCTCACTCACTTCCCTCAGAAATGACAGCGCCCAACTTGCTCTGCTTCATGACATGACAAAGAAAAGCGACAGGACAGACAGAAGACGACCCCCATAAAATCCCAGGCCCGTCCCACATGTTCTAGCCGCGGCTACGCAAATCCAGACCACATGCGCCCATCCTGCGCCCATTTCCCCCCCGTTTCCACCTTCATACACGCTTCACACTTGCAGAGCATCAAATATCAAGAAAATGGATAATATGTGGATGTATGTATATGTGTGTAGTCATGATAGCGTTTGTTGCATTCTAAGATTTAAAAGCAAGGCTCAAAGCCGGTGGTATCACTATACTATCCCAATAACCAGTAAGAAAATCCCATCGTTCTATCGCGTATTCCATGAAAAAAAAGGAAAATCCCGCCCAAACCAGCCAAGGTGAAAAACACCGCAAAACATGAGAGAACGGACAAAAAAAAGTAGTACTCGGTAACAGATCATTTGCGAACCACGCGCAAAGAAAGAAGTGAAAAAGACAAGAGAAAAAAGATCCCTTGTACCGAACGAAATCCACCCGACACCAGACCACAAGTTTCATCCCATCGTATATGCGGCCCAGAGAGCGCCAAATAGAAAAGAGACCCCTCTTAGACGCGCAGCGCCATGCAGAGAAGGCGTGTAAAATGAAGAACAAGGTGCGACAGAAAGTAATAAACACGTCAGTGGCTGTGCCGGAAGGGAACCAAAAAAGGGACCAAGCAAAAGTAGAGAGGAAAACAGCACGATGCATGCCAAGGGTTGAGACCAAGGCGATACAGCGGCTAGTCCCAACATGGCCCCCGTTCAGAACCCACTGGTCGCTTCTCCTCGCTTTTTTCTTGCGTCGCTGCGACTGTCTTCAATCCCTTGCTTCAAGTGCCAAAGGCTAAGGCAGACCCTTGTCGCACAGCAAGAACTGGTCGCACACGGCGCTCTCTGGGCCAGGCCATTCGTCGCTTGTCGTCGGCAGTCTGGAGGGGCCCAGGGAAAGAAAATGAGGAAAAGGAAAAGACGCCGGCAGTTGCAAAGACCTGGCAAAGGGTATCTGATAAAAAAAGGCGGAGCCGAGAGTAGAAAAATCAAGTCGATGATACCATCATTCATCGCGGCGGTCGTCATTCATAAGGCTTGATGGTGCTTGTTCCGCATGGACATACCCCGAGGTCGAGGTGGAGAGTCGAGGCCGTCGTGGTTCCCAGTTCCCCAGAAAGGCCGGCCCAAACGACCTGTCACAAAATGACGAGGCCTGTCGAATCAGCGTCGCACAAGGGCCAACGCCGACCAGATGTGCCGAAATGCCGCAGGCTCCAATTGGAGGCCCTGTCTGCGGGCGAGGTCGCGAGGTCGCGAGGGCGCTGGGCGCTGTCGCTGTCGCTGGCGCTGCGTCGCATGTGCAGCGCAAGCAGACGGCCAGACCAGCCACGGTGCGGTGCAAGCGAAGAGGCCTGCGCCTTGTGTGTGTGTGCGCGTGCGCGTGCGTGTGAGTGCGTGCGTGGACTGCGTTTCTGCACCCAGGGACGCTCGGGTAGCACCGCATGTGCGCAGTGCACAACGAGGGGAGCGTCAAGTGGCATCGCGTTGGAGATGCACATGCGCAGCGGAGAAGCGAAGGCTACGCTCTGGCAAGCCGAGCCACGTCCGCCTCGGTAACATCCGCTGGTTTCGAGCTCCAGACTCGTCATCGGCGCTCGGAAATGTCGCGCTAGACACACGAGGCCAGGCGACTGCGGACAAGTCGACACGACACGACATGACATGACGCTGGACGGCCAGGCTGAGCGCATTCACGGATCTCAGCCCATGTGGCCAAACGGCGTGCTGCTGCTGCGGTCCCGGGAATCGCGACCCGAGCTATGCCGCATAGAGTGCTGACCGTCGAGCCGACGCACTGGGTGACGAAACCCCGTATTGCATTCCTGGGCCTGGGCTCGCGGGGCTGCCCGTTGCGGGAAGACATGGGGGTGCCGGGATAAAGATAGCAACTCCCACAAGGCAGCGCCCGTTTTCTCGTCGTCGATCCAGGAGAAAAGGAATCCAGGGCCCGAGAGAAAAAAAAAAAGATGCCAGGTTGCGAGGGCGTCATCCCGTGCCGTTCGGGCGCAGGGCATCTGACCTAAGCGGAGGAAGCTGTAGGAGTGCCAAATCCTCCCTGGATGCAGGTGAGAGCTCGATTTTTTGACAGGTGACGGTGTTTGGCATCTGTCAGAGATGGCATAATTGGCTGCGTAGACTGGCGAATGCTCTTGATGGCTGTTTCCAGGGCGTAGCGATACCAGGCGGACCAGCCGTGAGTGTGAAGATGTCGTCTATGGTCCAGAAGAAAAGGTGCGTCCCGTCTATAATGCCGTATCGAATGCTCGCTTCCCAAGGAGAATATAAAGTACAACGACGCAGTAAAAAAAAGGCTGGCTGCGTCGCTCAAGCAGGTGAAAAAATTGCGCAACTTGCGTGTGCTGGTACAAAAGGGACAGAACGCTCTGCCTCTACTTGTATCCCACGAGCTTGGCGCACCGCTCGCAGTAGTAGAGGTTGTGCGAGATGCGCACCATGCCGGCGGTGCTCGCGTCGTCCGTCGTCGTCGTCTCGGCGGATCGAGCGCACCGCATGCAGCGCAGCACCAGCACGGAGGCGATGGGCCGGGGGTTGGAGTCCATCCTGGCTGAGGACGAGGAGACGTCGGAGTCGGAAGAGGAGGCGGAAGCGAAGTTGTGGCTGGCGATGAGGGCGGCAGCGGGCATCCTTATGGAGGGGGGGAGGAAAGAGATAACAGGCTTTGTTTGTTGGATATATATCTGGGCGATGGCGGAGGAGACGCAAGGACGGTTATCCAAGGGTAGAGAGCCGTCGATGGATGTGGTCGTTTGGATGGATGCTGTATTGATTGTTTGTTGTAACTCGTCGTTTGGCCTCTTTGTTCAAAAATGGAGAATGAAGAAAGAGTAGGAAACGAGAGTTGAGAAAGATCAACAAGTTGTCTGGTAGTCAAGCGGTCCTAGTTGTGTAGCGGATATCTTTCTCGAAGGAGGGATGGGCCTTGATTAAAGTACTAGCAATAGGAGGTGTGTCGTAGGGCCAGAAGGCGAGGGAAGGGTGGGCGTGGGCGTGGGCGTGGGCGTTGTACCCAGTTCTCCAAAGGGGGGGCGTGCAGAAACAGGGAACCAGCTAGGAAGGGCAGCAAGAGGGGAAAAAAAGGCAGAGAAGACAAGAGAAAGAAAAATAGGGTCTCCGGTTCCAACAAGGCAAAGGCAAGGCAACAAGGAACGATCCACGCCAGGGAGGGTGCTGGGCGATCGTCGATGCCGTCTGGGCCCGGGGTGGATGCAACAAAAGGGCACAAGGGCGACAAGGGGATATCTGGGTAAACGGTAGGTTCGCTTTGCTGCACGTTCGGTTCGGGCAACGGAGCGACGCAGGCTTTGCTGGAGGGCGGCCGGCGCGGGACTGGGTGGGTTCGGCAAAGTTAAGCTGGTTGTGCTGCTTTGATTCATGTGCCAGTTTATGCAATCGAGATTGGATGGACGCAGGAAATGTCACTTTCTGTTGCGAGCGAGGCCTGCATGGACTTGCTGCTGTTGCTGCAGCCGAGCTGGGGCGGTCCGATGGCGGTATGCCTCTGTGTTATGCTACCTACTCTTGCGGTGGTATTCTTCTACGACTCCTTGTTTGTATCATCTCTCTCTCTCTGTTTTCCTTGTTCCTGGGCCCCGGCAGTCTGCACCTTGGACCTACAGTCAACGTCCCTTGCACGTACCGCTCGTAACCTCGTAACCCAGAACGGTATGTACGTAAAGGGGACGTCGACGGGGGCCCAGTTCAGCTCGAATACGGGATAGATGCAAGCTGGAAAAGAAGGCTTAGCACCAGCTTGGCCAGGGAGGGCGTGCCGCAGCCCATGTCCAGCACAGCCGGGAAACAGGGCCAGGACCATGAGAGGGGGAGGGAGGGGCGTGTGCTCGACGTGGTCGACTGCGGTTATGCGCATATGCAGGATACGAGAGTTTCCCTTCCGTTTCTACCACTCGCTGCTTGAATCTGCTGGCAGCGACTAGAATTTCAGGGCGTTTGCTAGAGTGCTCCAAGGAGCCAGTGAGAGAGAGGGGGGCGAACAAGTGTGGGCGCTGGAACCCGGTCTGTCTGGCATTTTTGCAGAGCATCCAATCGCCTCGGTCCACTATGGAAGTTTTTTTCTTGCAGCATCAATCCAATCAGTTTGTGACTCTGCCTTCTTCAGTCTTCGCCCTCGCCCGGGTAATTTGCAAAACTATGGGTAAGGACCAGGGAACCATCCGATATCTCGATGCCCAAAGGCCGTGATCTGGAGAGCGGTGGGCTCCCAAACCTGTCATTGCCGCCCTCGTTGGTGGATCTGACAGGGGGGAAAACACCATGTGCAGTCAACCAACCTACACCTTGAAGGAAGAAGAAGAAAAACAAAAAAAGCTTTCTTCGCCTCACTCGCTAAGCCCAACAGCTGGGACGAGCTGTCAGCCGAGGGTCCCGTCGTTGGCCAGACGAGGAAAAAGAAGGCGGCAGGATTCTGGATGCCAAGGAGGAACAAGGCTTGCTCCGGCCAGCTTTGCTGCTTACCTGGTGATGCATCAGTTTGTCTCGGTGTTATGAGCTTTTGACTCATCAGCTAAGCTTCGGTTTCAAGCTGCTCTAGGAAGGAAAGCTATTGCGCCGCCCGGTCCGAGACGTGTCTTGGGTGTGTTGCGTTGCCTGGTTGCGTTGCTGCAATAAGCTCGCCGTCGTCTCGGTGGCTGTACAGATGGCTCTACTGCACGTACCATGATAGTTGATGCCAAAATAAGAATACACAACAGGCTGCATTGGCACCATACGAGGCTACAACCGACGGGGAATGCCAAGTGCCTGCAGAGCCACGCCGTTGCTTGACTGCTCTGATTAGACGGACCAGACGCGCATTTCATTCATGATGCGGAAACGACTCAAATTGAAACGCTTCAGGACGGGCCTTGGATTGAGCAGAAACATGCCAGCGAGGCTGTCTCCATAGCCCTGTGGCCATAGTAACAACACAACAAGTTCAAGCCGGGGACATCCCAGAAGAACCGAGGGAACAGGCATCGCTGCCAGCTCACAGAAAGTCCGTCCCAATGTGCTCCGTGCTGAGGCTGCCCAACTTGTTGTGGACACAGAATTCCTCACCGATTGCCTTTGCTTGACTCTTTTTTCTCTCATGCCGCCGCGAAACGCCACTACAATGGGATAGCGCCGCGTAGTTGAAACTGTAAACGCTCAATTCGTGCCCAAAAGCCGCGCGTTTTGTAAGAAGGAACTGTGAAAAGCCGAGTCGGTGAACGGAGTCGGAGCCCGGAGTCTCCGCCGAAAGCAACAAGCCACAATAAGACGTACGATACCAAGAGTTGGCGCTCAGGACGGACTGCCGTGGAATTCAATTAGTTGGCAGGATCCTCCCACGGACACAGCACATGGAGGCTGACGCGCAGCGGTTCTCACGAACTCTCGGATCGGGCAACCGTCCGGCGAGCCGGGAGTCTGTCCTCAGCCGATTCCCATCGCCAATCACGATGGCAAACAACCTTCTTTCTCGACCCTTGCAGCGTCGGGCACCGCAGCTATGGATACCACGCATTTTTTGCTCATCGGCCATCGCCGTCGGCAATCGGAAACCAGACGAGATATTTCGTGCATATCGAATTGGGTGAAACGAGAAACGAGAAAGGAAAAAAAAAAAGGTTCCAGAAGCCCAGGATAAATGAAAGGGCCTGATGGAATGGATATCGTGCTCGCGGCGTTTAATCAAGATGAGGCAGCGAATCGGTGCGCTTCGGACTCCAGCTGAACGAGGCATTCACACTGCAATCCACTCGAGGCGGCGAGAGCGAACAAACGGGGTTTTGGGGAGGAAAAATGGACACGCCAGAGCCCGCGCGTTTCAGATGGCCGCGATGGCGCTAGGCTTGAAACATGTGGACGGCAGCAGCATTTGTGCGCACATGCGGCTAATGAGGATTATGCATGTACCAGGCACCGCTGCCCGGATTGCTGCATGCCTGGTGCCTGTGCCTTGAACTCTCGTCTCCATCGGCGCATGCCAGCCAAACCTGTGCTCTGCTTGCGACAGTTACAGCATGTCTCAGTCAATGCGGTCGAACAGACACAGCACGTAATGTACATTCGCAGATGACTCATCCTCTCCCCAGCATTGCTAGGGCCAACTCCTAGGATTCCAGCACAAGCAACGCCCCTCCCCGTAAGGCGTCCGAATCGGAAATCGTCGACGCCGCGCTGACTGGCTGATGCTGGTCTCCTGGGGCGGGCTTATCATGCACATATGACTGACTGAAGGAACTGGATGAGCGGCCGCGCGTTTTGTTTTGCAGGTAAATGAACGTACGTATGAGTCGTACGAGCACGGGCACAAGCACGGAGCCAGACGTCCGAGGTAGATGACCAGATGGCCAGATGGCCAGATGGCCCTTTACTACCCAGTAGGTAATAGGAGCGTCCCCTATGCACGGCATCGCATCGAGCGAAACAAGGCAATGGACCAAGCTACCGCGGCAAGAAGATCAATTCGATACCGTCGCCCAGTCCCGCTGGCCCGCGGGCTGAAATGCAGCAAAACGTCGGCTCCACGTCACCATGATTTGCGTCCTACTGCTGCACATACAAGTAACTTGGCCGCTTCATCGTATTACTAGGTAGCAGGCTCTGATACAAGTACCTGCAGACAGAAACAGGCCCCATCGTCAGCCTGCCCGGTTTGCTTGCTTCAGTCAATCTATCAAGTCCTTCAGCCCGGCGGCTCATTTCAGCCAACCAAGTGGAAAGGGAGAGCTGCATGTCTCTCTCCTCGTGCCCAAGGCCTCACCAAATCAACGTCGCCTTTTGCTGCTGCTTTCTTCTGTCTCCATGGCCTCACTCGGGCTAGCGCCATCGGCTGCTCCTTGATTTCCCTGCAAATTCCCGATCCCCAGGCCCTTGGCAGAAGGTTCCAGCTCAGAGCCAGGTTTTCTGCTTCATGTATTTCCTTTCCCTTGCCTCGAACCTTTTGAGTGCTGAGTTGCGAATGAGGCGAGCTGAGCACCGGCCGTTTCCCCAAGACATCTGATTGATTACCTCTAGAGCCGAGTGGCCCTCCTTATCTCGGTTTGTTACGTTGACAGGCGCGCCGGTCCGTGGCATTTGGCCACCCCCTTTTTCGGCAGTCCAGTCTTCATCTTACAAACGGTTTCACCCTTGGACGTACAGCTTCCGTTTTCTCTTGGCCGCTGCAAGCTGCCAATATACATCCTACTGCTACCCCCAAGCACTCGTCGTTCGACGTGGCCTCCAGGCCTCATGCGACCGTATTGACTCGTCAGTTTTCATTTATCCCAGGCAGGTTTGTCAGGCAACGAGCAGCTTCTTTCGGTCATCCTTTGCTGCAAGGACCGAAAGTCTCAAGCCACACCCAATCTGCTTGGTCGTGACCCCCCGAGATCCCGCCAATGTTCATTCATGACCTCGGCTGCAGTCATTCTGCCTCTCATCCCGTCCAGTCCGTGTCTCACCCGTCGTAATCGGTGTGGCGGCTGCCTTGTCACGTCTTGCAGGGAATGAGAAGAACGTGTGAATGGGCAAAGGTCACCGCCATATCAAGAACGAGACCAGGAACCGGCTCCTTTACAAAAACAAAGAGAGGCTATGTCGTCGCTTCCTTGTCATACAAAGCATCTCTCATGAGTGCTTATATCCGTTGAGCCTGACC